TCTCTAGCCGTTTGTAGCCTTTCCTGTCTCCGCGTAGTTCGCAGCTGTTTCTAAACCGCTCGTAATCGTTTTTAAGCTGTTTTTGAACCGTTCGACAACCGTTCTCGAACCGTTGAACAGCCGTCCGACAACCGTTCTCGAATCGTTCGTTGCTGTTCCTCGCCGTCGTTAATGAACCGTTGCTTCTCTTCACTCGTCGCCTTTCGATAGTCGTTTCTGTTGAACCGTTTGTCCATTGTTGTTCGTTGTCGCGTCTGATTCAACGATATTCGCACGTCGAAGCTTGTTTATCGCAGTCCGTAACGCTTGCACATCTTGCTCGAACGCAGTCAGCTTCTCGTCTGATTCTTTTCGTTGATTGCTCAACATTTTAAAGAATTGATCAACGTACAGTTTGTTAACCGCGTCACCGTCAGTCTCAGGTTGCGCTACGCGACGAATCTTGCGCGACCTTGCGTCAAAGTCCGTGGCGGTGCGACACAGAGCGTTATTGCGCACGAAATTTCTCATTAATCCGCTCCACCGATGATACGAAATGGCATTCGTCGCGTCTCCGCTGTGCTCGAACAATCCAAATTTGTTGATCGGCATTTCGACGCTGATTGAACGGATCGCTGTCGCACCGTTTAATTTATAATAAGCCCGGCTTCGCGAAGTTCCTCGATGATCGACATGATCTCGTTGTCGTGGGCATTGTTGCCAGCTTGACGCGAAGCGTCGAGCAATCGCAGACGATCCACCAGCTCGTTGGGGTCATCCCAGTGCACGTAGTCGATCTTATTGTCGGTTAGCGTCATCGCGCGAGGCGCGAATAATCCTTTTCCGGATTTTTTCTTTTTGGATCCGGTCGACATCAACGGTGCGATTACCTGTGTATACTTGTATCCCACGTTGCCCTTTAGTCGCTTGTTAGGATCGTGTTGGAATTTATGAGCACTCGTTGCCAACAGTATGCTCTTGTATTTTTGCATATCGTCTTCCGTGTAGATATCGTCGTCGGGCATTCTCTTGAAGATCAACTCGTAAATACCGGGTGTGCCGGCGTATCGTACGCCGTCGATATAAATGTTATCCGCTTTGTCCACGTCAAAACGTTTATTACCGAGCATCAATTCATTATTGCCGAGATAAACGCCGTATGTGGTGTCTATCGTTGGAGAGGCGCCCAAAACAGACGCGATGTAAATTCGGCTCAGTGGACCCAGGTGATCTTCCAACGATTCTATAAACCATTGTCGACCCTTCGACGTTTGCAACCGTTTATGAACGGTTTTCCTGATCGAGTCGTCCGTGGTTTCGAAAACATTCGCGGTTTCAAGAAATTCGGGACTTGTACGTTGCACGGTTTGCGTCGGTGTAAAGGTTATCGGTGTAGAGGTTATCGGTAGTACTGTCGATTGATTAGATTTACGCGTCAATGAAAGATCCGACCATGAGTCTAATCGTTTCTTCTTTCTCTTCGGTGTAGCATCCTCCTCCTCCTGCCCGCGCTGTTGAACGGATAGCGGTTCGATTTTCGCGTCAGCGTCGCTCTCCGTCGGCTCCTCTTTTTTCACCGCGATCAAGCTCGAGTTGTCAACGATCTTTTTCAACGGCCCGATGAGAGGTTTAAAGTGCGTGTCCAACTCAATGTCCTTCTCGATCTTACCGGTCTTCAAAGCGCGAAGTTTTTTGCGAATCGAATCACTCGTCTTCGCAATCTCTTTTACGACCTTCTCGCGTTCGCGAATATTCTCGCTCCCGTCGATCGCGGCCATCGCGGAAAAAGCAGAGTGTCGATTTCTCTCTGTAACGCTAACGTTTCACCTCCGACGAGGTATCGGCAACGACTGATCGCTTTTACGGTATCGCGAACACGTTAAATCCTTTTCTGTATCGACCGTTCGAAAGCGCGCTGTCCTTGTCTATCACTACGAATCCATACTTTTGTTGCCAACAATCGTGACACAACGCGCAAAATTCATCGTACGACATGTCGGTATTCACGTGATCGTTGTACACGTGTTTCAAATTGGTACCATCCTGTTTGAACAGGATCAGCAGATTCGCGTTGTCGCGTATCAGATGTTTAGGTATTCTCGCGTACGTCTGACAGAGATAGAAGAAGTCGACACTCGAGTGCCTGCCCATTGAGAAATACTCTCTCACAGAGTCTTGCTTATCGCACGCTACGTCATCGAAGACGAAGATCGAGTTTGGACGCGCGTCGCTCGGTGGAATGACGTCACTGTTATTGGAGAACGTAAAGTAGCCGATTTCGTCGATCGATGTCAACAAATTCTCCAAATATCGATATTTCGGCTGTTGCAACGATTTCGAGTATACGTACACGTTTTCGAAACGTACGCCGTGCGGACTTTCCAGCAAGCTTATCAAGATGTTGGTTTTACCGCAATTCGAGGGGCCGCAAATGATCGCGCGTATAGTAGTCGGTAACATCGTACCGTGCTTGCGTTTCTCCACGTTGCCTCCCATCGACCGTGATCTGTCGTCGCAATTCGTCACGCGAATCGCCAACGGTTGTCGCACGAATCTCATTTTTTTTCCACACTGTTGACTTTCTGGCTGACTCGAACGTCTATTTATAGGCGAGCGGAACCGCGAATCGCTCAGTAGCAAAAATGTTCGTCCTACTGTCGAGACCTTCTGATATTCGCGACTTGAGCGCCGAACAGCTGCAATTTGTGCCGAAAGCCGTTCTGTTGCAAACGTGCGGCAATCACGTCCACTACGTGTGGGACAAGCTTCCGGAACATATAAAGGCGGATTTGGAGGTTCAAGCATATCGTCGCTGTTACGAACATTACAATCAACCGTGGCAGCGAACGCACATCGATGGTCCCGCGCCATTGATAAAGGATTGCGGCGAATGTCAACGAAAAAAATAAAAACAGGTAGAGGCCTGTTTAATCGCGCGATAGGTGCACTTTCGTTCGAACTGCACATTCCCGGCTATCAGTATTGCGGTCCGGGAACTCGTTTGCGAGAACGATTGGCTAGAGGCGATCAAGGTATTAATCCATTGGACGCGGCGTGTCGCGAGCACGACATAGCCTATTCGCGTAACCGCGATCTCACCGAGAGACACGCGGCGGACGAGATACTCGCTGCGGAAGCGCGAAAACGCATTACCGCGAGAGATTCGACTCTCGGGGAGAGAGCTGCCGCTACAGCCGTCTGGGCGACCATGAAGGCTAAGACGAAGCTCGGAATGGGCTTGAAAACGAAAAAATCGAAAACGGTGAAGAAAAAAAATCTAATGAAAAAACGGATACTTCCGACAGCGAAACGAGGCGGTGTATTGCCGATTCTACCGTTGTTGGGAGTTCTCGGTTCTCTGGCCGGCGGAGCGGCGGGAGTCGTAAAGGCCGTGAACGATAACAAAGCCGCGCGGCGTCAGCTGGAAGAGATGCAACGTCACAATCGCGCCGTGGAAGGTCACGGACTTTATCTCGCTCCGTACAAATATGGACGAGGACTGTATCTCGGCCCGCACAAACGCGGGCGAGGAGTAGCGTCGAAAATAAAAAAAAAAACGTTAAAAAGACGTTAAATATGCCCGCGGGTATTACGACTAACGTACAATTGAATCGACTGGCAAGGCGTATGCGCGTACCGTTTTTCAGAGGTGTCTTCATGCGTGATTCGTTACCGATCGGCGGTGTACGTCGAAACGAGAGCGGTATCGTGAATTTGGACGATGCAGCGGGTCCCGGTACTCATTGGGTAGCGTACGCGAAGAGGGAAGATCGAGTCGTATATTTCGACAGTTTCGGCAATCTTCGACCGCCGAAAGAATTGGTGCGATATTTCGGGCCGAGCGTGACGAAGATCGAGTACAATTGCACGTCTTATCAGCGATACGATCAGAACATCTGTGGACAATTGTGCCTGCGATTTCTCCGGACGATCGACGCTAATTTAAAGCCTGACAGTGCGCCGTGGTGACTCAGTATTTGTTAACGATTTCCGCCGACATGTCTATAACGTTCACGCTGACTGGGAAGAGCAGCATCCTCGCGGAGCACTATTTTCCCGCCGTGGATCTGAGCGACGGTGACTACGAGCTCGGTCTAACGTGTTTCGAGACTTATCACACGATTTCGAACGTGAATTCTTCGAACAATAAATTTTATTTCGACGAGGATGACACGGAAATTATGATTCCCGAGGGATCGTACGAGATACGAGCCATACATGAGTTTTTGAAACGCGAAATTTCACGAAAACGCCCGCGACGCGTAAATCGTTCCAACAATGATCGTACGTCGGTCGCGAATATCGCGCGAGAGGCGACCGCTCGCGCGAACAGCTACGAAGACGAGGCCGCGGAATACCCAATAGTGCTCCGCGCAAATTACAATACGATGAAGAGCGAGATCAAGTGCGCTTTCAAAGTGAACTTTAACAAACCGAACAACGTTGGATCGCTGCTGGGATTCTCGTCGAAGCGTATATTGCAGCCGGGACAGTGGCACGAATCGGACGCGTCGATTAATATTATCAACGTAAACATTATCCGCGTGGAGTGTAACGTGACCGCGGGTGCGTACAGCAACGGCAAACGTGTTCACACGATACACGAATTTTCACCGAGCGTACCACCGGGATATAAGATATCGGAAACGCCGGCGCAGATCATTTACCTGCCAATCATCGCGCGAAGCGTTACGGATCTAACGATACGCGTCACGGATCAAGACGGACGATTGCTCGATTTTCGCGGAGAAGAGATCACCGTCAGATTGCACGTACGGCGGCGAGAGCGATAACGCGCCAGTGTATGCGTGAGCGTGAGTGTACGCGCGACACATGAGATGCTAGTGTTGAACGACTCGGAGCACGCGACAGATAACAGTAATATCTTTACGGCTGCACCGATCGACGATATCGTCAAGTCGACATTCGGTGGCGTTAAACAAGCGACGAGAAAGAAGCTCAACGCGTCGAACGTTAAGTTTTTACAATCTCTGGGATTTGCGGTGCGAAACATCTGAACGATGACTGAAATTCTCAACATCGGAAGCGAGCCGGTCTTTGACGATCGCATCGTCAAGATCGAGACTCACACGTACAACACAACGTTTGATTATAGCGACGAGATACGAATACCCATACAACAGCAGGATTTGTATACGTTGCCGTGCGAAAGTTTTCTTTACATCGAACGAACATTGACGGTGACCAGAGCAGCCGACCAAGTCGATAATGTGGTATTGCGTACTAATTGCGTCGCGTTTATGTTCGATGAGATTCGATACGAGCTCGACGGTATGGAGATTGATCGTTGCAGAAACGTAGGAATAACCAGCACGCTCAAGAACTACGTTACGGTATCGTCCGACAGAAGCGTGATCCTGCGAAACGCGGGCTGGGAACCACATAATAATCCGAACGGATATTTCAATTTCTGCGTACCGCTCAACTTGTTACTGGGATTTTGCGAGGATTACAAACGCGTGGTGATCAACGCTCGTCACGAATTGATCTTGATACGAGCGCGCAACGACAACAATTCCCTGGTGGGAAGTCTCGCGTTGGAGCCTACTATCAAAATACTCAAGATACAATGGCGAATGCCTCACGTGGTATTGAACGAGATCAACAAGCTGTCGATGCTGCGCGCCTTGGAAGACGGACGGTATCTAAGTATGGGTTTCCGTTCGTGGGATCTGTACGAGTATCCCCTATTGCAGAACACGACCAAGCACTCGTGGGCCATTAAGACCGCGACTCAGCTCGAGAAACCGCGATACGTCGTCTTCGCTCTGCAGACGGGTCGGAAGAATGTCATGTCCGCCGACACAAGCCGATTCGACGACTGCAACTTGACCAACGTAAAACTCTAT